CCGAGGTCATGGGCAAGCACAGGGTAGCCTCGAAGTCCTGTGGCATATCCTCTGAGAGGTGGTGATAAAAAATATTATGACAATAGCTAAGACTTACATAGCACTTACCGGATGCAAGGTACTGTTCTAAGTGCTGTGTAGATAAATCATTTGATCCTCACAACAAACCTAGGGGCTGGGTGCTCTCATTACCCCCACTTCACAGATGAGAAAACTGATGCTCTGACAGCAACTAGCAAGGGGGCAGAGCCAGGACTGGAACGCAAGCAGTCTGGCCTCAGAGTCCATGCTCTTGAACTGCTTGTGCCACCTTTCTGAGCAGAGGCATTTGAAAGTGCCATGGCAACAGTGGTTTTTGAGTGGTTTGGGACAGTCAAAAGAGGAAGAGTTTGAACAACGTCCAGAAGAACAAAAAAGATTTTCCAGAAAGAGAGGGAGGGAAGAGGGGTTCCAGGGAGAGGTCATAGTACTGGCAAAACCCCAGGCCTTGAAAGGGCACCGTGTCGATAGAATGAGAAGTTCAGAATGGCTGGATCACAAACTGTGAGGGCAAGGCCAGGGCTGGAGGTGGGGCAGGCAGGGGAGGGAGCTTGGGCTGGAGAGTGGAGAGCTCTGGCACCGTTGGCATTCACTTGGGGAGGGTTCAGTGTCAGCTTGGGACGCAGGTGCAGAGTGAAGAAAAGAGAATGTCTGAATTTAATAACAGATGTTTGCTCCCTGTAGCTCACCAATATTTGGTGAGCAAGCTTGTGGAAACCCTCACACTATTATTGTCCCAGGTGTGCGTGTAGAGGTGGTCTTCTGTCTGTGGCCATCCCTTTATGGGAGCCAGGACTGTGAGCTGTGTCCACCAGCCCAGAGAGCCACTCCCTTAAACTGGAAAGAGCCGTGTGAACCAAGGTCAAGAACCCAGACTTAGGTCTTCGACCCAGGCTGCTTTGACAGAGGCTCTTACCCTCTCTGGGCCTCAGTTTCCTCACCTCTTAAACAAATCTCCTAGAATGGAAGTTCTCCAGAGAAAAGGGATTCAGAAGCAGAACAATTCAGTAGCTGAGAGCAGGGACCCTAGGGACAGGCTGCCTGGCTGTGTCAGTTCTGCTGGCTGCGGGACTCAGGAAAGCTCCTCCCTTCTCTGAGCCTCAGTTTCCTTACTTAGGAGGAAATAATGATAACACCTGTTTTGCAGGGCTGTCACAACGCCTCCTGGACATTAGGTACAGTGACCGTTGTAGAGTTTGAGTCTGCCTTTTCCATTCCTGTGTCCCCAGTGCCTCGTGGAGGGCCTGGCACGTAATAGCACTTCATGATTATCAGACGAGGAGTGAATGAATGAAGTAGCCTGGAGAGTCAGAGCAGGCTGGGGCTGGAGACCACCGAGTCTTGCCTACTCTTTTGGCTGCTGTGAAGACTGAGGCTTACGAGAAGGGCTTTGCTAGGGCTTCATGGGGGGCCCGTGGCAGAGGGGTGTCCTATGGCAGTGATGAGGAAGAATGTATGTGACCCTGCGCAGAAAAAGCTCTCTCTGTTAAGGCGAAAACTCTGGACAAAGGAAAATGTGAGGAAGTGTTATTTTCGGCATTGCAAGCAGTCCCCTTGAGGCCTTTCTACTCAAGCCTAGATGACCGCCCTGCACTTCCTCACTTCTCTGCCCTGCCTGCGCCCCCCGCCCCACATGCCATGCCCACCTTCTCTCTAAGCTGCAGCTCAAGTGCCACCTTCTCTAGCTGCCTCCAGAGGTCGGTGTCTTTCCCCTGTGCAGGCCTCTCATGGCTCCCTCTGGCCATCTTCCATATAGGCGCCAGGCTCTATACCTTGTAGCAGAGGTGCCCATGCTCACTCCAACCCCGCACTCCATTGGGTCACATCTACTTCATCTTCCCACACCCTGGTCTTGGTACAGAGTGGCACTCCAGAGGTGTGAGCAGATGGGAGAGCAAGGTAGGGAGGATGCTGAGTTTTCAGCCCTCCTCCCCTGGGAAGCCTTCCTCATGCTGGTCTGGGGTGTGGGGTCACATCTACTTCATCTTCCCACACCCTGGTCTTGGTACAGAGTGGCACTCCAGAGGTGTGAGCAGATGGGAGAGCAAGGTAGGGAAGATGCTGAGTTTTCAGCCCTCCTCCCCTGGGAAGCCTTCCTCATGCTGGTCTGGGGTGTGGGCTCCTCTCCTGGGCTCCTTTTGCTCCTGTGCTTCCTTTCCCATGCAACTGACACACTGGGGGTCTTTTGTTCATCTCTGTCTACTCTCCTAGACTGGGATCTCCCTAGAGACAGGACTGAATCTCCTAAGAGCATCAGGCACAAAGTAGGCAGCATTAAGGGTTTGTTGGGTGAATCATTGGATGGAAGGTAGACGGATGGGTGGATAGATGAATGAATGGATGGGTGGGTAGATGAATAGATGGATGGGTGGATGGATGTATAGATGGGTGGATGGGTGGATGGATAGATGGGTGAATAGATGGATGGGTGGATGAGTGGATGAGTGGGAGGATGGGTGAATAGGAGAGGAAAGAAAACAAAGTGAGTGCTCACACTGCTTGGATCATCCTCTAAGGGACAGGCATCCATCTACAGAGTAGGACCTCAACAAAATCCCACTGGGCTGAACAGGGTTTCATTTTTCTGTCTAAAATTCTTTCATTTCTTTATTTGTTCATTCACTCATTCATTCTTTTGTTTGCTTGGTTTTTTGTTTTTGTTTCTTTTGGTGGCTGGCCAGTACAGGGATCCAAACACTTGACCTTGGTGTTACCAACACTGCACTCTAACTAAGCTAACCAGCCAGCCCCACTCATTCTTTCTTGCTTTCATCAATATCTTGGCTTCTTGTGAGGATTAAATGCATGACTACATATAAAGTGCTTAGAACAGTGTCAGGTGCATAGTAAATAGTGTATGATACTGTTATTATTCCATGAGCATTTCCTGAGGATCTACTACATGCCAGGCCCTAAAGTAGGCTGTGTTGTAAATTCACAGCCATCTTAAAAAACCACAATGACATACAAGCAGGCCCTAACCAAGAGAGGCCCAGAGGGCCTTACCCCTCTGCCTTGGGACTACACCCTACCCCACTCCCCCAGACTGCCAAGAGACCCATCTGGGCTTGGGCTGGAGGAGACAGTGGGGGGTGGGGGTGGGGGTGGGAATGAGCAGCAGGTGTCCTGAGACCCATCCTGCCAGATAAAGGCCTGTGGGTGGGCCTCAGTGCACAGTAACACAGCTCCTCCTGTCCATCTCCTGCCCAGCCCCTCCTGCTCTTACCAGAGCGGGTGTGGTCATAGCGGTATGGCTCCGAGATGAAGTGTGGGAGGGTCATGAGCAGGCCTGCCAGAGCCACAAGGACAGCCCCATAACCGATCAGTCGGGGCCGGTGTACCCGGCTGCCAAAATAGCTCACAAACACAATCAAGGCTGTGTTCCCCACCTGTGAAGAAACAAGGTGACCCATTAAAGTGGAGCAGAGCCCAAGGCTGGGGGCCTGCATCTTCCCTGTCTCTATCGGCAACCTCAGTGTTCCCATCTGCATAACAGACTGGCTGGCTGAATAAGAATCGTCTGAGTTCTTCTTATAAATGCAGATTCTGGGTCCTCCCAGGAAAGGCCCCACTCTCCCATTAGGGGAGAGAAATGAGAGCAGCGTGCACAAAGCTAAGAGTTCAGTTTCATTTCAGAACACGGTTTAGATCCCTTGTTAGAACATGGAGGAGGCAGGCAGTCATGGAAAGAGATTTTGAGTTTCAGGGACATCATGAATGATAGAAACGAAGTCTAAAGCCACAGGATTAAGGCTTGGAATTTGGGGATGGGGTTGCTGGAGGGGACTGGAGAGCTTGCCGGTAGGGGCCGTCTCTGCGTCCCAGTTGTGGGATGCATCTGCTCCACTGCTTTCCAGCTGTGACCGTGGGTGAGCCCCAGGCTCCTCACTGGGGAGTGGGCAATATCAGCAGACGACTGGTGGGGGGACTGACTCCGGGAGGGACAGCCACTCTCCATTTCATGGCTGGGACACTGAGGTCCAGAGACAGGCAGTGACTTGCCCAAGGTCCAGAGCAAGGTAAGGACTTTCCCTACCCACCTCTGAGATCTGGGGATGGGATGCTGGGGAGCATCCGGGACACTGTTCAGCGGGCAGGCCTTGGGTCGTGATGCATTACCCAAGGGCAGAGAATTTCACAGAAATAGGCCAGGGGCGGAAAGAGCTCCTTCTCCGAGGGTGAAATCATCTGGTGGGGGAGGGTGGGGACACAGCTGGACTCAGATCCACCCAAAGAGGCTCATCCACACTCCTCCCTGCTTGGCTGTGGGCCCCAGAAGCCCATGGATCCCTGGGCAATTCTGAGGACCGACTCTCTGTGCCACAGTATCACTCCCTCCCCCAAGCCTAAGTCCGAAAGTTCTTCCCTGGATGTAATTTAAGCCTCTCTTGCTACTGTTGATTCCTTCCCGGGACAGGCAAAGGCTAGGTGCCTGAAAAGGTGAAGGAACCAAAGGGAGAACGAGTGGATATAGGGATCCCGGCTAGCTCTAAATCATCCCATGTCCCCAGACAGCTTCAAACGCCCTGCCTACAGGCAGGAGGTGGCCTCCACCTCAGCTTGGGGCTGGTCAGTTTCTGGGCCAGGACACTTGGGGAGAAGCAAGCCAAGGAGGTTTTAGAAAGGGGGCTATGATGGGGGCTGCTGAGGGCACTGGGAGGGGAAGTCCCTGTGATGGGGTAGTGAGGGAGGAGCATGGTGGAAGGTGGGGCACAAGTCTCCCTCCACCTCCACCCCCAGGGCTGGGCCAGGGCCAGTACCTCGTTGAAGGCAGCCAGCAGCCCTGAGGTCTGGCTGGAGAGGCCAAAGCGCTTCTCCACTGTGGAGATGGAGCTCTTGAGATAGCCGGAGATCATGAGCTGTGCCAGCTGCAGCAGGCTGTGGCACAGGACGAAGAGCTGTCAGAGCAGCCACAGCAATGGGAGGCAGCAGGCGAATGGACAGGGAGGCAGTGGGGACAGAGAAGTTGGGGAAAGGGAGAGAGAGAGAGAGAGAGAAAGAGAATTATTGGAGTAGCCAATGGCTTTTTCACACTGATCTAACACTAGAAAAGCTGTACACTCTGGGAGCCTGGAGGCTACCAAAGACCCCCGTGAATGAGAGTAGGGTCTGCATGGAGCCGCCTCCGACCCAGAGTTCCCCCTGAGCTGGACTGGCTCCCTGTTCTACCATCCTGCCTCTTCCTCCAGGAAGCTATCCCAGATTCACCCAGCTCCTTCTCCAGCCCACCCCACCTGTGCTAGAGCTGCTCTGTGAGACCACCTGCACACACAAATTCGTAAACTGCCCAGCCCCACCCCACCTCAAACATCCCAGCCTGCCTGTAGTCTTTCTCTTAAAACACGGGCAGAGTTTCTAAGAGAAGAAAAACTTGCCTCAAAGAATTAAAAACAGTGTTAATGCCAGCACTTACTACATTCATTCTGTTCTTCTGTGTCTCAGTTTCCTCATCTATGCAATGAAGACAACGATCCTGCCTCCCAGGGCTATGCGAGGACTGAATAAGATCCCATGTGAATGGGGCACCCGGCCCAGGGCCTGGCACCCAGTAGGTGGCAGTGGATGTTGGATGTTTCAGCTGCCCTTGGTGGAGCCAGAACTCTCTGGCATTCATACAGGTTCAGAATCCCAGGGCCACATCTCTATTTCTCTAGGAAAACTAGAGGCAAGTGACCTTGTCCCCCACTGCCCAGCGAGCAGTGGAAGGAGAAAACATGTACTGGGCACCTTCCATGTGCCCGAAACCAAGCTAAGTGCTTTCGTGGATCATCCCTTGGATACTCACAACCACCCATTCTGCAAATGAGGAAAGTGAGGCTCAGAAAAAGACAGCGACTTGCTTGGCATTACACAGCCACTGGGTGGCAGAGCCTGCTCTGCTGGGCTTGGAGGCCCCTGCCCCTGCCAGGCCCAAGAGGTACCTTGATGCTGTGCATCACACTTGGCCGCAAGTCCTGAGGGTCTGGGCTGGCTTTGCCTCTGGGTGTGTCTTCTGTGCCCATCATGGTCTTGGTGTCCTTGTCCAGCATCTGGGACCCCTCACCTGCTGGCCCTGAGGGACAGACAGCCAGGGGGTGAGAGTGGAGATGGAATCCCAGAGAAGGTCCTGACCCAGGTAGCCCTAGACCTCAGAACCAAGGTGTTTCAAGGGGAAGGGACCTTAGTGGTTGGTGAGAGTCTGAAAGTCTGCAAGCAATGGCCTCAGCAGCAGGGATGAGCTGTGCAGTCTTTCAGCCCCCGTGGGCCTAGAGTTGTGAAACAGTTGGTGTTCTTGGAGGGTCAGCCTGGGTCTGTCTTGCTCAGTCTAGGATCAGGGGACTGGGGCCATGTGCAGGGACAAGGCCAGGTCGGTAGTCAGGGAATAAAGGCTTTTCCTGAGTGTGTTTTGAAACAATTGCCAACACCCCCACAGGCACCACCTCAATGTAATCACGGAGCTAACCAGTCCAATGCCCAAATCATACCGTCAATCCATGATGCTGGTTGTGCAGAAAGGGCCCTCAGAGCTCACCCATTTAACCCGCTCCTAGACAGAAGAAGCCCAACTGAACTGATGACTCAGGAGGCAGAACTGACTTGGACCCTTGGACCCTCTTAATTTTGAAACAATCGCCAACACCCCCACAGGCACCACCTCAATGTAATCACGGAGCTAACCAGTCCAATGTCCAAATCATACCATCAATCCATGATGCTGGTTGTGCAGAAAGGGCCCTCAGAGCTCACCCATTTAACCCGCTCCTAGACAGAAGCCCAACTGAACTGATGACTCAGGAGGCAGAACTGACTTGGACCCTTGGACCCTCTTACACATGTTGGTTTTCTCCCATGGTAACTATGGTAACCATGTCAGTGTCCGACTCACCACAGTGAGAGGAAAGCTGAGCCCCTCCAGAAGCATCTCCCAGGGTCTGCTGGGGCTTACTCTCAGTGGGGAGTCTGGAAGTCCAGCCTTGGAAGACTCCACCCTCCATTTAGAAGGAAACCTCCTGTGCCTCCTAGCATCTCAGGAGGACATCTGGTCTTTCCTCCTGAGGCCCCACTTCCTGCCGGAAGCCTCCTCCCTTCTCTCATATCCCTCTCACTGCAGGCAGGAGCCCCCTCATTCAACAT